CTGCTTGAGAGGGAACTTCCCATCTTGAGTCGTCACCACAATGTGATCCAGAGCTCCTAAACAAATATTGGTCAATGCCAGTGTTTGCTTTCTTCATTTATTTACCTTCATGGACAGTTTAGGCATCATTGTTCTCACTGTGTGCACTGTAGCATCCCGATTTTTCCTTTGTATTCGTATCACAGGATTAACCGTTCTACTGTAAGGCAGATTTAACTTATACATTTAATGTACTTTAATTCTTTTTCTCTTACTGTTGTTTTTAATTATGAAATCCATCTTTCAGCAAGATATGATATGCATTGACCCCAGAATTATAATTATAGATTCATTCTCATTTTCTTTACATTTTTCTTTGAAGGGACCAGACTTTTTTTTTTTAAGTAGTATTAAGTAGTAATTCTCCAGCACTCTGAAGGTCTTTCAGAGTGTCCCTTTGGACATTGGCTGTTTTTTTTCAATTTTTGAAGACCATAGAATCAATTTTAAAACGTATTTTAAGGCATATTGTTACTAGCAGAAACACATAATTTGTATAGTTGGGGGGGAAAAAAGCCAAATGTAACACAGTTTGATGGGAATGAAATAATAGTTTAGCACCAACAAGGTAATTCCCAAAGAGCTCTTTGCGAAAAACTTGGCAAATCATGGTTAGGAGAGAGGTACAGCATCCACAGCCGTCTTTAAAACACGGCGGAGGCTCCGTCACAGTGTGGGGACGCATTTAAGTGAGTTGTGTTGGCAGAATCGTCTCAAAATTGCTCCAGCAGCACCTGGAAAGTATCAGATTGCCAGTGGTTCATTTTTCAGCAATGCCAATGATCCCAAACACACTGTTAATGCAGTAAAAGCATACCTGGATAGAAAAATATACAATTGAATATTGGTCGTGGACTGGCCTCCCCAATGCCTGGACCTCAACAGTGTGGGATCATTTTGATACAGAACAAAAGGCAGCCAACATTCAAAGATGAGCTTTGAATTAAACTCAAATGAAATGCCTTAAATGTTGTATTTCCATGTATATTTCAACATGTTTGAGTGAATAACTGCACCCGTTTCCCCATTTTTATAGTAAAATATAAAGAAACGGAGGCTGGCTCAAGACTTTTGCACAGCACTGTAGCTGAACATGTTTTAATAACTCATTTCTGCGCACACATGCATTCATATTCACATGCATGCTTATGGCTGTCCTCTTTTCAAAACAGTAACCTAATTATCGCCTCTCTGTGACGCATTTAGAGGAAAGCTGTAAATTGTAGCTTTAAAATCAGGTGAAAGCAAATCAAAAAAAGAAAAAGCAGCAGTTACCACCACGAAACAGCCCAGTTGATTACTAACAGAACAGTAACTGTATTTCTGGTTAAAGCCAGGTTAATCATTCATTCTTGCTTCACAGATGGAGGGAAATCTATTTTTAATCACTCCATAAATCAGAAAATACTTTCAAGAGCCATAAAAAAAAAAAAAATCAAGTCTTTTGCAAACAAAGTAAAATTTGTCTCTTAAAGATATATTATCAAATGGTTTCTGTAAAAACCTTCAAAATATAAACAGAGAGGAAAATAAGAGTTTGTTAGCGCTCCTAAATTGGAAGATTTCAAGCTATGAGTATGAAAAAAGATCTCATTTTGATCGGGTCTTCTAAAATCCTGTACTGTAACATTCGATTTGTCAGTTTTAAACCAGCATTTGTATTGCAGTGATTTGCACATTTGCTTAACAAGTGAATGATTCCCAGTCTGATCCATGGAGGAGGCAAACAACGCCTTTGGGCTTGTCTCAGGAGATAAAAGAAATCTACCAAATCAAACATGCGGAGCGATGCTACGGCGACTACTTACGAGTAACAAAGCAGCTGCAAGTAGCTTTATATCACTTTAAAAATCAATCAGAGGCTTTTTTTTCCATTACAGCCTTTCTGAAAATATATGTATGATAATGCAGATGGAGTATTTTATCATTAGATATGAACTACTCTGGAAGAACGACCAACAGACCAGTTTTGGTCCCAAATGTGTATTTTGGAGCTTAAGCTATGGAAGCAAAATAGCTCAAATTGAAAAATAAAAATGGTCTGACTATAGAGTTTCACCCTGTGTGTTAACACCAGCACTGGCACATAGTTAATAAGATGTTGCTATGGTGTAATGGAATAGATGTGGGGAAAAATCATTTAGTCCTTTGGACAGATTAACAGATAGACAGAGGAACGTGCAATAGCACAGTAAAAAAATATTCATTTTGAGACCACTGTCTTAAAAGTTTCCATGATCTATTGTCTCCCCTCTTTGTCAACACTGAACGAAACTAATGCATGTTTGCCAACACAAGCTGACTTCTGTCCCTCCCTCCCTCTCTGCATCCACCCACTCCTCTCCATCCTCCATCTGGCTAACCTCAGACGCGCTTGTTTCCTTCTTCTCCACCTCTGCCTTACATCACTGCCTCCCGGCTCACCCGGTGGGGGGCTGCGCTAGTGGTGTGTGATTGTGGAAATGTGAGGTGAACCGAAGGTGAGCCAGTGGTGTAGTTTTCTCTAAAAGATCAATTTATCATATGATTTCAAGGGTTAAAAGAGAGAGACATATCCAATCAAAAAGTAAGATACAGCTGCAATGAATTAAAAATAAAAGGTTGGTATGATGTGATAACATGGATATCAGCTGACACGCTGCCTACTTTGCTGCCAATTATACCGTCTCCCTTTTTTACTTTGCTCATGCCCATATCTCTGCCTGTCTGACTTTGTTACCTGCACCTTCACAACGAGCACCAGCACATCTGCAAGTACTTTAAGCAGGCAGGCCGGCAGACAGTCGGTCATTGCTACAAAGATGGATGGTGAGAGGGGGTGGCAGCTGGTTGAGATATCGGATGAAATTTGGCTAAAATGCTCTTTATTTTTTAAACACGTTGAGTTTTTAACGATACCAAAAACAGATTTTAAGCTGTATGCTGCGTCTGGGTGTTGGTGTAATCAGGATACGTACCACATAATTTGCACTTTTTCCCTCCTTTGCTTCTTGTCAGGCCAAATTCTCCTTTTAAAAAGGTGCTGTAAAAATTTATATCAGTTCCCATCTCCTTCGCCTATCTCAGTGAGTGTTTGTCTGAACCGTTGCAAACTTGCTGGCTGTAATGTCGTTCACCCGAGTAAGCCCAGTGCTCAGTTTGAGGTTGTTTGGATGAGCAGTTCTCGCCTTTTGGTAGTTCTCCCTTTCCTGGAGTGACTGCTGCCTGCTCCAGTCAGTTTTTTGAGGAAAGGGGTACTGTGCAAAAGTCTTGAGCCACCTCTCATGGCTTTATATTTTGCTTCCAAGAAGCCAGACTTTATTGTAATTCTTATAAAAGTGATCTTGATCAATAGTTCTCATTTTCTTTGAACAATGACTCATTTTCAGTCCAGTCTTTGTACCCCATTTTTTTGTAATTATTTAAGTCACTTAACACTGTCCTAAGAATCGTTCAAGGATGAACGCCCAACCTAACAAAACACCAATTTTAAATGCACTTTTTTGCTGAAATGAAATTTGCACCAATTTATATTTTTGCACCAACGAGGTGATTACCAAAGAGTTACTAACTGAAAACCTGTCATATATTGGCATGGAGCGCTGTGCAGTGTATGCCAAATTACAGAAGAACAGGAATGAATCCATTCTTAGCAACAGTTCTTAATGGGATGCAAATCCAAGTGGAACTTTTCAAATTATCATCAGTATGTATGAAGGAGATCAAGACTAGGCTACAACAGTGAGTGTTTACAGGCATCTATAAAATACAGTGGAGTCTCTGTCATCTTCTGATTGACAGTGGTTCATTTTTCACCATAACGATGATTCCAAGCATGCTTTCACTGCAGTAAAAGCACATCTGCACAGAAAACACACTGGAACACTGAGTCATGGATTGCCTCCCCAGAGTTCAGACCTCAATATTACTGAAGCAGCTTGGGGTCGCATTGACAGAGAACAGAATAAAAGGCAGCCAACAACCAAAGAAGAGCTCTGAATGTCCTACAAGTAGCCTGGAGAACTATTCCTGAGGACTACATAAAGACATTCTTAGAAAGTGTGACTCAGAGAGTTCAGGCTGTGTTGAAGAATAAAGATGATTACATCAAATACTGACTTTCAAACTTGTACAAACTGACTTTGGATTTGCAAGTCTCCAATTTTCCTAGCAAATTAACAAAACGAGGGGCGGCTTAAAACTTCTGAACAATAGTGTAAAGGGTTTTTGTTTCACATAACAGCAAAGCTGTGGAGTAATAATATTGCATCTGTGTGTGCTGTTCTCGTTTACACGTGAAAAGCTTTACTTCTGCTCAGATTGTTGAGGACAAAATGTTGCACTGATTTGAATCCAATGAAAGGCAGCACTATGATTTTGTGTAAGTGCTCTGACCTGTGCCCGGTTGTGTCTGATTATAAGTGTCCTTGTTAGAAGAAATTTACAAATATAGGTGCTGTCGAGAAATGCCAACAGCACAAAAAGGGCGATTACCAACATAACCATTTTCTGACGCGCTACAAACACTAAATATGTTGGATTAGTGCATTTGTTTTGTTTTTTGCGCTGTCCTAAATCATACATCGGCTTCTTAGTCATGAAAACTTTGAGACCTCCAGTCCAAACCTAAACTAAACTAAACTCTGGGGTTTTCCTGCATATAAAATTCTGTTTTATTGGCCTTCTTCCAAAAGAAAATCACCAGGGCTGTGATAAATTAATACTTCAGACGTTTCTTTTTAAAGTGGTTTTATTTTATTTACTCCAGGATAAATATGCTTTTCTTTATCAAATGGCCAGGGGTAAAAGGAAAATGTATATATCTCTGTTAAGTAAGACTCATTACCGTATGTGGACTGATGTGCTTTTGTGTGTAGTCTCAGCACAGAGCCGTGTTTTCAGCCAGGAAAAACTCGGTAAACCTAATTCTAAAGTTTCCCTAAAACCAAGTCTTCACCCTCAAACAGGCTTTTGAAGGAGTGTGAAAAAAAGGAGGCAGGCCAAAACACTCTTTTACAAAAACCTGTAAAAATTTCATAAATCTGACGTCCAAAACCAGTTCTCACAAAGACAGCTGGACATGTTTTTATTCAGTTTAATTTCTGCAGATTCACGCTCCGAACCAGCTCAATCACACACACACATGCATCCAATGAGTGCATCCTCATAGCCGTGCTCTTTCCAAAACGGTAATTTAATGATTTCCTACATGTGATGTGAGCAGCGGGTGTCCACATGCATTGCAGCTTGGGCGGATTACAATTACCGCAATGAGAGTATATGCTGATTAAAAGCTTAAGAAATGGCGATATCCATGTTTCAGCTAGTTGTTTTTACCCGTCTGCGAGAAACAAGAATGTGAAGTCTACTTTAAACAATGTTTTCTTGGACACAGCGCTAGTTTCCAAGTCACATTACCCATCTGCGATGACCATGAGATGGTGGGCGTAGCACTGATCTCCCTCTCTCTGCATTTATCTGTCTGACTTTCTGCTACGTGTTTGCTGCACACATAAGTACAGACTCATGGCAACAAACAGCAGTACATACAGTCATACACTCACTCTCATAAGTTTAATGAGAGCCAGATGAGAGGTTCATGAACAACACACACACATACGCTCGGACAGCTGACGTCATCCCATTCCACCATCTCATCTCTGCTGTCAACTCTAAGTCCTGCTGCCTCCCTGGATTACTGTCCAGCTGGACAGAGGAGAGGGGGATGAATGGACCAGAGGAAAGGAGCGAGGGATATATAGATTAGGGGGAGGGGACACAGGAAGGATGACAGAACAGAGGGATGGATGCAAAAAAACAGTAGAAAAAGAGGAAGTGATGAAGGGAACTTTTAACTGAAACGCGTTATACCATTGTAAAAAGGTGGTTTAAAAATTTCTTATGTGGTCTTATCTAGTCAAAAGACAAAGTATGAAGCTGAGAAGCACTGGAAAATTATAAGACAAAAGTAATAGAGGCAGGGCTCCACACAGAAAATGACTCGGAGCAAAAATCAGTTGAGTGATAACCGGATTAGAAAAAAGAAAAGTTGGGAATGTGAAAAGCAAAGCTGGACACTGAAGGGTTCATGATATTGTATGTGTCTTCATTCTGTGTAAAAAAAAAGAAAAAAAGGAATACTACACTAAAAGCAAATCAGATACGTGTGCGGAAGAAAAGTGGAACAAATTCAAAGTAATTTCAGTTTGAAGTCCGATTCAGGCAGCTGCCTCGTCCCCCGGGAGCTTCCATTACACACCCCACCTCTGACTCCCCGAGCGCGCCCCCATTTATTAAAATGCAGAGAGAGAAAAGAAAAAGAAAAGGGCTGTGACCTGGATGTACTTGGGGAAACAGGGGCCAAGGCGGGGTCAAGGTAACATCAAATAGGGATCTCTTTATGCTAAGCCTTTTGGCGCCGTGTCCGAGAAAGACTTTGATTCCAAAAGTTTTAAAAACGTTAAGAAAAAGCCCCCCTGTTAACTACAGTGCACGCTGTGCACACTATATTTGGACAGTTACCCATTTTTTCCCTCCAGTATGTTAATTCTGAAACGAAATAATGGATACCACATTAAATGTCTTCCTCTGGCATTAATATAACCCCTAAAAACTCATCTGTCTTCATCATAAATACATATTTCCCTTTAAAGATGTGAACAAGAGCAAGTTTTCACATTTTAGGATGAAAATTAGCCCCAACCCCACCTCTCAAAAACATGCAGCTCACCTAAACACTCTAAGGTTTCAGCTGTAATTCGAGCAGGTTTGCAGAAATCTGAAAAGAACTAAGTGGGAGACGTAATTCTTTTAACAGCTTAGGAGCACAAAAGTAAATGGAAAGATGCCCGTGAAGGAAAACAATAATAATAAATGCTTAGAATCATTTACACCATTACCAGCATGATGTCTATCGACTTCTCCAAGGCTTTAACTGTTTATCGTCATCGTCTTTTAGATTCTCTCTTTCTCTCTCGCTCTCGTTCAATTTTAATGGATCGTTTACATGACCCCACTTGACTCAAAACCTACAAAGTTTGATCAGAATTGATTGAAGACCTTTCAAACGATCGGGTTTACAGACAGAATGTCAAAAACATAACCTCCCTGGTGGTGGTAAAGATGAGCAGAGGTTTCTCCAACATCATCTGCAGTACATAATATCATCAAAAGACTCTCTGTATGGTGACATCATCAAAAATTAATATTGGCCGCCTGTGATCTCCGAGCTCTCAGGCAATGTGGATTAAAGACTGATATGATTCTGTCTTTGAAATGGGCTCAGGAACATTTCAGAAACCACCGTGTGTGAACACCGTTCACCGTGATGGCCACAAATACAGGTTAAAGCTCTGTCAGACGAAGCCACACGTGAACGCGATCCAGGAATGCTGCCATCTTCTCTGTTCGGCAAAGTGGAAAACTGTTCTGTTGTCAGATGAATAAAAATGTGAAATCCTATTTGGAAAATATGGACACTGGACTACACAGGAGAGGGACCGTCCAGCTTATTATAAGTACTTAGTTTAAAAGCCGGCATCTCAGATGGTGCATTAAAGCCTACAGAACTGGCAGCGTGTACATCTGGAAAGGTACCATCAACGCTCAATGGTTTTAGAGCAACATGTGCTTCAATTCAGACATCATATCTCAACCAGTCAGTAGCACGGCTTTGTAGCAGAAGGGTGCGGTGCTGAACTGGCCTGCTGGCATTTCAGACCTTTGACCAGCTGAAAATGAAAAATATGACAAAAAAGACCTGGGACTGCTTAGCTAGAAACTCATAGCAGACACAAATGGGACAACATTCCTCTCCCAAAGGTCCGGCAGCTGGACTCCTCAGTCCCCAGATGCTTAGAGACTGTTGTTAAAAGAAGAGAGGATGCAATGCAGTTTAAAGCTTTTATGAGACTTGTTGCTGCAACCAGATCTCAAATTCAAAATAAGACAATAATTTTCTTAAAATGTTAGATTTCCTCAGTTGAAATAGTTGATATTATCTATGTTCTATTTTAAAATGTTGTTTCTGCATTTTGTTTCCATTCACATTTCACACAGAATCCACAGGCCTTTGTGGAAGATTCCTCTTTGTGATATCCTTGTTATGTGAGGCACTGGTGAGCTTTTCTGTGCATGAACAAAAGCTGGACGAGCACACAGGTAAAGTTTAGCTGCCACGTGTTTAACTGTCTTAATGTTTTCAGTCTGGACTGTACGTACATGAAGTGATGTCTGAACGTTTCTTTTAACTTTAGAGGTAATGCTCTCATGCTTCATCTGCCTTGTTGGTAACCCTTTGTTCTCTGCTTTGAACTTTGTACTAAAACAAGAGGAATGAAAGGCACAGTCCAAAAAAGAAAGAAAGAAAAGTACGATAAGCTCACTACCTGGCGAGGTTCGGATGCTGAGGTTTCGTGTGAAGTCATCTTTGAGCGAATCGAGAACAGTGGTCATGTCCTCCTTCACTTCATCCAGACTGATGATGTCTTCCACCAGAGATGAATTAATGTTCACCTTCCCTGACTGGCCCTTTGCCTTGGCTTTGAAGATTAAACGAGAGAAAGTAGGAAAAAACCGAGGGAAGAGTGGAGACTTATCTAGATAAATAACACCACATTTGTGCCAGCAGAGTCATGGAAGTTGTACAAGTTAACTTCAGCAATCTCCTCACTGACCTTTGGCCTTTTTGGTGGCGTAGAGCCTGATGCATACAGCAGGAGCAGGGTGGTGGAAAGCGTCAGGAGCCAGAAGAGGCCTAAGGCTGACTCTGGATGTGAGCGGAGACCTGACATGTCGCAGCAGGGGCTGACACAGGAGAGGCCGCAGCAAGCTCAGATGATTCAAAGCCATAACTGTTGACACTGAAAAGGGGGGGGAAAAAAGAGTTTAAATTAACAAAACATTTTAAAGTAGATAAATGCTATACAGCTGAGTTTGGAAGGGCAACATGTGATTACATTCGACAGAGCTACAATTCAATCAGAAAAGCAGTTGAAAGCACAGCTGGTAATATTAATCAAAATGAGGTAATAGCTCATATCAGCCAGCAGGAGGTAGGCCTTCATCTTCTTCTAACAGTACAGCACCGTAGTCTGTGTGCACCTCAGTAAATGCATGATAATTTCTGACAGAAGTGCAACTAAATCAAAATGAATGCAACCTACTAATCTGTCATCTGCTACATTTGCTTTGTAGCATTTCTGTTAAGGTCTCCATAAATTATTAAAGCATTCAAATCAAATAAAAGGGATTGACTTGCAGATGAATGATCAATATTTGCTCTTTTGTAAGTAAATGAAACCTGTTATTAAGTGAGAGCACATAATGACATCATAAACTGTTTGCTTAATAAACAGCTGATCTGATCTAATTTTTTTCCAAATTTCTGTAACTAATTTTTTTCCCTGTGAGGTTTATAAGTGATCTTTTACTCTGTTTCTGACTGTGAACATGCTGTTATGTTACACTATCCGATAGAGGTTTTTTCAGTCCCTTTGCCACGGTTGTGTAAATTCAAGTACCTAGCCGTGCAGATTGTCTTTACAAATGTTCACTCTAAAGAGCTCGAGCGTGGTGCTGTAACAGGATGCCGCTGTTTCAAAAAGTCACTTTGTTCTTCCCTTGTAGATATTCCACAATCAGCCCTGAGTGGAGTGATATTATTGCAAAATAGAAGCTTTTAAATACCACAGCAACACAGCCAAGGAAGCACGGTGCTGTCGCCTCACAGCAAGAAGATCCTGGGTTTGAATCCAGCTGGGGCCTTTCTTGCATGTTCTTCCTGTGTCTGCACACAGTCCAAAGATGCACATGGGGTTAGGTTGCTAGGTGATTCTAAACTGGTCGCAGGTGCGAAGGTGAATGGTCTTGATAACTGTTCATACCTCCTCTGGTATTAACATCAGCACAAAAACTGTGTGCTTAAAGTGTCATGGAGTGGGTTTGTGTAGGTGGCCAACTACGTTTATCTTTATAGTGTAACTAAGTCTTTCTTTTTCCCCACTCTGTGCAAACGTTGTAAACCTGCCAGGGACTGCAGATGAAAATCAGCCAGTGTAACTAAAGCACATTTACACGAGTCTCGGTGTGCATGTTAATGTGCACGATCCCCTTAAAACATAATAAAAAAAGAAATAAACTCTTTTCATGAATAATCATGTGCGTGTTTGGGTTGTGAAACAGAGATAAAAGCCTATGAATAAGAAATTCTTCAGAGCAGCTCAAAAATTACTCATCAACTGATCTAAATAAATAAAAGTTTATTATTTTTCTGGTATTCCAAAAAAAATGAATCCTTTCCACCTGAATTACAGCCCATGCATTTGACCAGAGTTTCTCTCGAAGTAGAACACAGGTTCTTATAAATCCATCCACACGTCACTGTTTTTGTGAAGCTTTCAACAGTCAGCTCTACCACCTACATTACATTCAGTTACACTCATACTCTTAAAAACATGCCATTTCTCATAAATCTGTGGGATAAAGCTAACCATTATCTCAGCCCACGCGCACTCGTCTGGGCATTCCTGAGGGGGGAACCTCCTATTCAAAAAACCCCCAAAAAAACAACAATATGACAGCAGGCCCTGCCTTTCAATGGACGAATCACACCCCACCTCACAAATAGGCTCTTGACTGTGAACTGTGTCACTGACCCTCGGTGTGCACACACAAGTGCAGAAAAGCACGGAGATATTTAAGCCCCCCAGACACAAACAAGACTCTAAAGCCTGTCTTTCACAGTCAGTGGTTGTGAACAGCGTGCGGTGCACTGCTGCCCGCCTGACATCTTCTATTGTGCCTCGTGTATTTATAACTGCGACCTGTGAGGGGAAACACACCGTCTGAACAGTCTTAATACCCGAATTTAACATTTTAAGTCAAAGGCTGTGTCACAGTGAGCTTTAAAGAAGCCACTGGGTGTGGTTTGTCTCCAACCAGACATGACACTGACCTCACTGTTCGCCATTATACCTCCAGCTACCACTAATCCCCCGGAGTCAATCCAACGCTCACTCCAGATATTAACCAACATCCAAACTCATTCCTGCGGCAATATTTAGGCTACACAGTACACCACCACCTCCAGTACAAGCCCAAAACAGGTATCCACGGCTGGCAGGTTTCCCAGCAAGTATGATGCGACACGCCACAATGTGGCAGAGACGATAGGCCGAGATGCGGGACGGTGACAGATCTCTTTAAGAAGCCAGCCGAGCAGAAAGAGTGAGGCACAGGTGTTCAGTGGGATACTGTAGCCTCACGTCCTGTAGATTTCACACACACGGCAGCAGCTGCAGACACACCCTGCGTCTTCCAGCAGCAGAAACCAGCTGGTGAACCCGCATGCTCTCTCTCCTTTCGCTCTGCAGCCTGAGCAGCGAACAACACAGCAGAGTATCTGATAATGTTCTGCATGGCTCTGCCTCCTCAAACAAGATGTTCATGCTGGGAGCGAAACAAATTATTTTCTTCTCATTAAAAACCATTGAGCACACCTGGTTTAGTGTGTAATGAATTCCTAAACTTTCCTCAAATGTTCTTTTTTGTCTAATACCAAAAATGCAAAAGATCCCCAAATTTTAGAAGCAGGCACCAGACAATACTTCACATTGTTACAGGCTTGAGGATGCCATCAATTCAAACTAATCATTTCATCACATAGTAGCACTGCAGTTCGACTGATATAACAATCAATCAGCATAATGTGTTGATGAATATGTTTTTACCACAGCATAATGTAGAAATGGAGACTCATTTCTTAAGATAAGATAAGATAAGATAACCTTTATTAGTCCCACACGTGGGAAATTTGTTTTGTCACAGCAGGAAGTGGACAGTGCAAAAGTTATGAGGCAAAAATTAGGATACAATAAGAATAAATACAGTACACAACTGTACAGAATAGAATAAAATACTATATACAGTAGAATAAAATAAAATAAATATACAATAAGATAAAAATAGAATACAAATACAAATACAAAGACTTGTGACCAAGTCTTAGTACCCAGTGTTGAAAGGTGCAGCTGGAGTAGAGAAAAGGTTCTCTGGCAGAGCTTTACTCAACGAAGCAAAAGTGCCACTATTGCCACAGTGGTTTTTTTTCTTGGTTTTTTTTAAACCATCATAGTACAAAAACAGGAGAGGCACACAGCTGTTTATTTTGGGTGATTGAATGCGTGACTAAACCTTCTTGTCTTCACACTCTGTGCGCGATTAAAATAAGGTTTGATATTTTGCCACACTGTCTCATGTTGTGAATTTAATTTTGAAAAAAAGTCCCAAATATTGGGAAAAAAAAAAGTCACGAAGAATGTTATATCTGTGATAATGAACACAATTTATACAGCAACAATTCATAATTCAGCTTTGTCACACATCATATTTAGATGACATGGCTTTACAATTAGACAAAGGCACGTGTCTCATCCCTGCTTCCCCCACACACTCTGTCTACAGAGAAAAAGAGTAAATATCCAGTCAGCAGAAGTTCTCTGGTTGAACTGTCTCTGGAGGCCAGAGAAAAATGGTCAGACTGCTTCAAGGTGACAGGAAGATAATAATAACTCTAATAGCTACTGGTTACGACCAAGGTATAGACAACAGCATCACTGAGTGCACAACACGCCGAACACTGTGGGTTACAGGAGCAGAAGACCACACTGGGTGCCATTCCTGTCTGCTAAGAACAGGAGAGCGAGGCTATAATAAACGCGATCTCTCCAAAATTAGACAACAGAAGACTGGAAGCTGTTTCCTGGTCTGATGAGTCTTGATTTCTGCTGCAGCATGCATCCATCCTGCCTCAAATCAGCAATGATGATGCAACCCATGGCACAGTTTCAAATAGCTCAAATAACACCAGAACGCACTGGTTTCTTGAAAATGACAGTGGGTTTACTGGACTCAAATGGCCCCCAATCCAATACAGGTAAGATGAACCTAATATCCAGTGAGTCTAAATATGTAAAAACAGGAACTATTGCTTATGTACGTGTTTTAATGGACCTTTTCACAGACTTCCTGTTACCCAGCTGGGTATGAAAGTGATAATTTTGTAGTTTTTCCGACTATAAGAGGACAAACTAGAGCAACATGACACAGCATCACCTAGTTTTACTGACACCAACAGTAACTTCACAATTAATAAAATCAAACACACAAATCAATAAGAAACGTGCGCCCCAGCCATCTATGGCGCACATCACATGCGCAACTTAACATGACGTTAAAAATTCCTGTGTTTTTATATTACTGTGGACTCGCTCCTGCATACAGCACCAGAACGATTCGGTGCAAATTTCACAGCAGTTACAGCAGTTGGGAGCTATCATACAAGCCCATGCACATTTAGGTTAACCAACTGTACGACTCTATAGCTGAGGGGTTGAGAAGGTCAGTAAGACTTCTCTCCATTCTTACAGGGGGCAAATTGAACCAAAGTGAACTGTGTTCAGCACAGTGCTACCCTTCATTTCAACAACAACCCAGCAAAATAAAAGCCTCAACTGTAAAGTGCACCACAACACACACTTACTTCAAAAAGTCTTCACAGAAGCGTGTTAGCCTGGGCAACAGCCATCGGGGAAAACGCGTTTGACATCCATTTCGTCATCACCACGAGACTGTATGTTATGGACACCTGGTAGATGTTCGATATCTGTACGGGTTACACCGACTGGGCGGGGTTACCGACTAAGAGGACACTGGAAGCGTTGTAGGAGAATGATATAGGCGATACCAAACAGTAACCGAGTGCTCCCATAGGACTCTGCGCATGCTCAAACAAACTACGTCATCACCCCGCGCCTTTGTTGTCAGACGGTAGCGAGGTATCGTCAGAGCTAGCTCGCCTAGTCTCTAATATAGAACGAAAACAGTTTAGGAAATGATTAATTTGACGTTTTGACGCACCAGAATCATCCCGAAGGTGGGATCAGTGGTAAATCAATTCGAAGAATTCGCCAGCGAAGAGGAAGTTTGACAAACAACGAGGTAAACGGAAACTCACTTAGCTAACTGCTGCAATCCACTGCTCTTCTATAACGAAGTGACTGAGAGCTCATCTTCATCACATATGCTACCACCTGCATAACCGTGTCTGGTTTAACTCTACCCGGGCGGATCTATCCGAAGAAGTTCCGGAGTTAAGGAGTAGAATTGTACGGTTTGTTAAACTAAGATTATTTGCTTAGCTTTTCCCAGATGTGGAGTCGGAGTTTTGCTTTTTCAGATGTTTTCAGGAACTATGTGTTTATTTGACAGTGCGAGGAAGTAACCCACACTACGTCGTTTCCTGATTCTGTTTCCTGATTAAGTTAAAACCCCTGTTATGAATACATACATCGGCACAACCTTTGCGCACATATTGCACACAACTGCTTTAAATTTTAATTGAATGAAATTAACTGAGTTAGATTAGAAAATCCCTAAAATTCACTGTTTAATTGGACACTTTTCAGAGATTAGATCATTGGCGTGGTAGTGGCTATGTCGTAGAAAGCATGTTGGTGGTGAAACTGCCAAGCAGAAGGAAGAAAAAGGTTCGTGGATGTAGGGAAGGAGGACAAGGAGGGTTGTTGTGACAGAGGAGGATGCTTGGGATAGTGTCAGATGAAGGAAGATGATCAACTGTGGCGTCCCCAATAAAGGGCAGCTGAAAGGCAAAGTTTTGAGACTCTTTATTATTTATGTGCAGTTAATGTGGAAGCTGTTTATCTGACGCTTTACTTTTTTGACCTTTCCTGGATTTTTCCTTCAATGAGGGTATAATTAGCTGAATATCTGTATTTGGTTGAGTGTGCAGATGCCCAATAGGTGTCCAGGTCTTCTCTGGTAGGTTCCTTCATGTTCCAGAGATTTCCAGAGGCAAACGCCCAGCTGTTGAGTGTCTGAGCTCCTCAGCGCCATGCAAATTCATACTTGCGATAATCAAAAACTCTGCCTTTTGCTTCTTTTATCCCACAGATTCCACATGTCATCGGCAGCAGAGACAGTCGAAAATGCCTCTATTATTTCAGAGAGCACGGCCCATGATGGAAACCGCTTGTGGATAGGAAACATTGATCCCAAAATCACAGAGTGAGTAAAAAAAAAAGTCAGCTTCTGCTTTAACGCAAGCTCATATTTCATCTTCATTGATCCACCAGATATCACTTTAGATAGTGTAAATTATCTACAACACTTTAATCCGTTAGTAATGATTACAGGGATCTTAGCTCATAGTCAAAGAGCCACTGGTATTACAATAGAGCTGTGCCATAGTGAGCATTTTTAGGAGTTAAATGTAATGTTTTCAGCCTCAAATGTGCGAAAGCGCCACTTTAATATGGAGTAACATTTAGTGATGGCTTTTAGTGGGTGATCTGTGGTCACTGTAATAGATGGTATGAAACTGAGGCATTGGTTTGTACCTTCTACCCCATAGAAAGGCAATGTATTGTGTGTCCGTATATGATTGATTAACTGTGTGTGTAGAGTGTGTGTGTGTGTCACAAGCTGAGACTGAGCAGACAGGGCTGGGTGTGTGAAAGAGAGGCAGTGAAGCGCGGAGACCTGCTCGGCTAAGGAGCAGCCATCATTCCTCAATCACCTGCCCTGTTTACTGTTTCTGTGTCAACCTGGCTGTTGTTGTTGTTGGTGTGTGTGTGTGTGTGTGTGTGTGTGTGTGTGTGTGTACGCGCGCGCACAGAAACAGCACACATCAGTTGATGTTTGGGTGGCAGCTGGTAGAGGCTTTGACACCCAGAAGAGTCTTGACAGAGCATCACATGCAAATCCTTTTTGTTCCTCCTTCTTTGTGTTTGCTGCTGAATGCTAAAGACATCCCTGCATATGCTGTGATGAAGAGAAGGTAGTTTTTTGGGGTGAGGGGTGTGTTTGTACGCCTGTGGGGGCTGCTGGAGAATGTACGGGCAGCAGCTCTGGTGGGCGTCTAGACAGGCGTTTCCTTCCCCTTTCCCTGCTCTGCTTCTTCTTAAATGGCCCTCTACTTCTCAGTATGGAGGGAAAACAAGAGAAATGCTCAAGGCCCCCGTTGCTGATTGGGAAGATTAATTAGCTCCGGGATAGCATGCAGTACCCCCTGTGTTTGTCTGGGTGAGCCAAACTCCCTGCAGAGGTGGAAAATAGACTTGAAATGCAAGGTGCTGATGCCACAAGGCAAAATGATTGAACTGAAACAAACTGTTCTCAGCATTTAAAATCAATACAACTTTAAACTGCCCCCAATCTAATTTATATCATTTTATTACAAAAGATGACATATGAGTAGAGCTGGGCGATATAAGATTTTTTCATATCACGATATGTTTTTTTCATTTCAGGCGATAACGATATCTATCACGATATAAGCCAAATAACTATATTTGTAAGATTTAAATGTGCCGTTGCTCACAAGTAAAATGTGAAATAATCAGCAGCTTGTTTTTATTTAAATATTTATTTCCCATAATAAGTTCAACAGGGTAGATGTACTTAAGGAACATGAGACTTTTTCAGATAAATAAAGGCAAATATTGCAAACTACACAAAAGGCAGCCGCTAAAGCGTTTAAGTTTCAAAATAGAACAAACGAAACAGACTAAATTGTCAATTCCACTTAGAAACAAAATATTAATTCTAAAAATAAATCTTAGTTTGTTTTACAGAAGAACAGACAAAACTGACTAACTTTTGTCAATATCAAATAAACTGAGAACTAAAAGGAAATTCTCAATCTCTCCTTGTTGTATAGCTGAGCTTTTCAAACAGTTTTAACAGTTACTTTAGTCTGACAAAAGCCGAATGACGAATTAGCGCTTCCAGTCAGAGACTGAGGCTACGTCCACACGTACACGGGTATTTTTGAAAACGGAGATTTTCCGTTTTCGTTTTAAAAAATAATCCCGTCCACACATAAAGGCAGAAATGAAGGAAAACGCTGCTATGAACATGCCAAAGCAGCAGGTGGCGCTAGATTCCTAACCGTGCAGAAATGTTGGCCAATCAGAAGTCTAGAAGCCTCGGTGGGAAAAAGTAAACAAAGCTGGGGCATAGAAGCAGAACCGAGTCGTATGTGTGGAGGGACAGTAACTGTGTGTATATGTAAGCATTTAAACACTGCAGAGAGTAGAATTAACAGTAACAGTATTGTAGAAATTCATTTCACCGAAACAATAACGTGGCGCACAGTGTGACGTCAAAAAATGCGCACACCTTTGACGCTGCGTTTTCTCCGTTTTTCTAGTCCACACGTAAATGCAAAAACGGAGTTTTTAAAAATCTTCGTTTTCAGTGACCAAAAACGCCGTTTACGTGTGGACGAAAGGTGCAAACGCATAGAAAAATCTGCGTTTTCAAAAATACCCGGGTACGTGTGGACGTAGCCTGAGCATGCACCAGTTTATTGTATTTCCAGACTTGCTTTCGGCACAATTTACAGTGCACGCTACTCTGTTTTTTGTCAGACTCGAAATAGCCGAAATACCTTCACACTACGGAACTTCTTTGGCTCTTCCGTTCGACAATCTCTCCGGCATTGGAACCATCATCTGTTTTCTCTTCGGTAACCTTCGGTCACGCTTGGTTGATTTTTCTAGTCGGCACACTCATTTCCTTCATTACCCGGGCGGTACGGTGGCTGGCTGCTTCCCAAACAAATACACACGTGCGGCTTGGCACTTGTGCTGTACGTAACAAGTCACGTGATGTGACGCTGCGGCTGTGATTGGTTCAGCTCTGCGCTACGTAATTTGGATTGGCTGTTCTTTTTTTCTTTTTCTCTTTTTTTAAGAGGACAAGAGCGGCGAGGTCTATCGCGATAGTTTAATTTTTCTATCGAGAAAAAGTTATATCGCGATACATATCGTTATCGTTCTATCGCCCAGCTCTACATATGAGTAATTTATTCTGTGAGGGTGAAATTTTATTTCTTTGAGCTTGGATCATTTGAAAATACAAAAGTGTGCAAAAGTCTTAAGCCCCACTTGACTTCTTTATATTTTGCTTCCAGTGATACACACTTTGTCTTTTTTTAAGCAGTAGTTCTCCAGGCTTTCTGAAGGTCTTTGAATAATTATTTTTTACATTGCACCCATCTTCAGTCCAGTCCTTGTACCTGGTCGTCCCAAAGGAATTTTTTTTGTTTGTTATGACACTTAACACTCACCTATGAAAAGTTTTAAAAAGGCACCTAACAAACTAGATGAACCAATGTTGTGTCTACACATAACACACAACTTAGAAATGAACCAATTTTAATGTGTATCTTTAGGTATATTGTGACTAGCAGCCTGTCACAAAAGTATATAGTTTGTTCCAATTTCTGTAGTTGAATCTACAAAAACTGCCAAATATAATTGGGTTTGACTTGGAGGAAACAGTATTTTGCAGTAGCAAGGTGATTTCCAAAGAACTATCAGCTGAAAACTTGGCATTTTGATTTTGATCCACAATGCAATACCATCTGGAAAACATTTGAATAGCAGCGGCTTCCCAAAAACACTACCAATGCAGTGAAAGCATACCTGGATAGACAAAGACACAGTTGAACACTGGACTGGCCTCCCCAGAACACAGACCTCAACAGTACTGAAGCAGTGTGGGATCATATTTGACAGAGAACAGAACAAAAGGCAGAAACATCCAAAGAGGAGCTTTGAATATCCTTCAGGAAGCCTGGAGAACTATTCCTAAAGACTTCTTGTAAAATTGTTGCATTTTTCAGTGCTGGCGTTTAGGTGAGATTTAGTTCTGTTTCATGTTTTCAGTGCTGTTTTAGGTGGTTCAGGGTAAAACGTTACACTTAATTTGAATACAGTGAAAAGCAGCACTGTGATTTTGTGTGAAGTCCTGTGCACAGTTCTGTTTGATTATAAGCTTCCCTGTTGAGAGAATTATGAAATTTTCCTATGAGTTCATCTCTTACAATGAAGAGAGAAGAATTTATTCTACGCGTGATAATTAAATTGACCTTTTCTGCTTTTCATCCTGTTCAGATATCAATTGGGTTATGGGGAAACCATGATGTTGTTTCCCTTTTAAATTTTCAGTAAAAATCCCACAGTTCCTGTCACAGTGCTAGTTGTCAGTTGCACGCTCTTTTACTCTTTACAACTGCAGATAGCTGCATTGTCAAACAGTCAAACCCTAGCTCCTCCTCTCCAAATTCTTCCCTTCTGACCTGCACTTTTCTGGACCGAACCTTTTGTCTTATCTTTTTCTGGACTTGACTCACATCCCCCCCTGTCCCTTCCTTCCTCTCCTCTTGTTTCCTAACTCTTGTATCTGTCATACCTGGCTTCTCACCTCCTCTCTTCTTTTGCCTTGTGCTCCTCTTCCTACACCTTTCACCTTGCCATCAATATCCCCTCTCTGAACTTTAGTCTCCATTTGCTCACCTTTCCCTCCCTTTCCTCCCCCTTCTCTTCCCCTCTTCCTCTGGTGGGTTTTACAGCCCCCAGGAGGAGCTCTCCATTGTGGTTTAGCATCCAATAAGGTTCTTAGTGTGTAACCTCTGTTAAAAATACACATATGCTCAAACGTCTAACTATATAGCTTTTTCAAAGGACGGCATAGTTCACTAGTGCACAGTTTTTGTTTACTGAAGTGTAAACAACAACTTAAGTGTAATCTAGGGCTAGATGAGCCACTGTCACATGCGGAGGCTTGCAGGGTGTTGTCTGGGAAAAGCAGAAACTGTCGTCGGTCTAAAGCCCCCCAGGGAGTCGTAGAAGACATTAGTACAACCTGTAGCTTAGAACCTCGCTTCACTCTGAGAATGCCACATCAAGTCCCTTGCACATACACTGCACACTTGCACATTGACATTTTTCTGGTCTCTCACACACACAAACCACTTGAGGATTAAAAATAACAGGCTCCTAAACAATAAAAGGCTGAAGCATTAATTTCTCTTTAACAGTTATACAAAACACCTGGGGTCACTCTGAGGCCTGGACAGTCACACAAGGCAATGGCACCGAATCAAGAACACAGGAGGGCGTCTGTTGGACTCTTTTCTTCGAGCGTTTCAGTTTTTTCCCCTGTGACAGAAGACAAGAACATGTAAACAAAAATAAAATCAATGAATTGCTGAAAATGTTTGGCTTCAACTGTTTGTGCATGTGCACGCTCCTTGGGTTGACACAAAATATTAAAGTATACAAATGTGTAACTGTAACCTTTTTTTTTTTTTTCTCGTAAACTGCTGATTGAGTTGGTTTGCAAACAGTTACGGGTGTTGTCGTCTTTCATACAGTGAGGACTGCTAAAAGCCGTTTCTTTGCCTTCACTCAGGAACATGAGGACTTAATTCTGTGGTGGTTTCAGTGACTAATCAGCCGGGTGATGTGTTGTTTCTTGTTGAGGAGTTTTCACAGTGATTCAAACTTGTTCTTGGACCTCAAACAGTTACTGTAAATGAGTCCATTGACACTCTTAAAAGAAGTCTGCAACAATTTTGCTAATTGATTTCACCATTTCAGTCATTTTTTGAGCCTGACTCACACAGTTGACCCCAGCATCTCGAATGTGTCAGCATATTGGAACTTGGGATGGACACTTTTTCTATTTTCTTCTTAACGAAATGGAAAAGCACGTGCTGCTCAGTTTGTGTTGAAAACAATCAATCAGCCCCGGGGTATTTACAGTAGTGTAGCAGCGAATCTAGTCTCCAAGTGACCCTGAACTCATTGCTCTTTTCTGTACTGTCAAAAGAAATGTTTTTTTCCCATGGCTGCAAATTGCTGGTTAAACGCGCGCGCGCACACACACCTACAATCTCACAAACACTGCATAGCTCTTCAGTGACCACATGTATGCTCATTTGTAGTCCTAAGCAGCGCCGCACAGTCAGTGGAGGTTGTTTGTGCAGATCTCTGTGCTCAGGGGGGATTTTAAGCTTCCTCTGTTTTATTCCCTCATTGTCCTGCTACTGTATCCTCAGCATTGTCTCAGTCAGAGATTTACTGTCACCGGCCTGCCACACCAGCTGGCCTGCTGCTAAAAAGGTGTCAGGGAGAGAAAGCTGTCATTCTCATTAGCCCTACTTGACAGATTTACGGGGGCCAAATACAGCATGGACTGAGACCCTTTTGCAAAATATCAAAGTCATTTTGCCTTCTTATTTCCCATTTTCTGTCTTTACGGAGCAGTCTTTTCTTACACTTTTTTTTTGCTCTCTCTCTCTTTCGCTCTCTCTCTCTCGCTCTCTCTCGACAGGTATCACCTGGTGAAGTTGTTAGAGAAGTTTGGCAAAGTGAAACAGTTTGACTTCCTGTTTCACAAGTCTGGGCCTTTGGAGGGACAGCCACGAGGCTACTGCTTTGTCAACTTTAGCACCAGGGAGGTACGTCCAGCATGTTTATCTGCATATAAATGTCAGTTGTGTTAAAGTTTGTTTTTGGGGTTTTTTAAACCCACAGCATGTGGCTTTGTACACTAGTACATAAACTCAGATGCATGAAATACCAGATTTATCATTTCTAAAAGTAAATCCTCAGTTGGCAGGAGTAAAACGAGTCATTTCATCAATATAGGAAAAATATTTAAACTTAAAGATCTGATGAGAAACAATTTTTATCCACTATGAGTTGGATGTTTCATGAAAATGACCCAAACTGAGTGTAAAAACATTCATGAGTCAACCTGAAGCAGTGTGCGTGTGTGTCCTGTTGAAGTGGGCTTTATAGGGAGCAGGTTTAAGCTTCACAGGTTGTTTTGGAGCGTGCTGTGGGATTGAGATAAGCATCTAGTTTCACAGCTAGTGTCTCTATCAGTGGGATATGAAGCCCTCCCAAAAGGATTATACAGAGGAAGTGTGTGTTTATCTTTCACACTCACACACACTTACATGTAGACACGCTTGGATAAAGAACTGCATTAATATAATTTAGCAACAAAGCCACTTGCACATTTGATTAGATAAAACTGTATTTATTCACACTGCCTCTCATACACACAGCCACACACTCAGACACCTCAGTTATGGCCTTCTGCTGTTATGAGGACTAATGATTTAATCACTCGGATGCAATCATCAAAGCTGATTTTTAATCACGACTTAAAAGCCGCCCCTCTGTCTTTCTCTCTTTTCCTCTTCCTTGTTTTCTCTGTGTTTGTGTTTCTGTGGCTGCATGCAGGAGGCTGAGAGGGCTATCCAGTGTTTAAATGGGAAGCTAGCTTTGTCCAAGAAGTTGGTTGTGCGCTGGGCACACGCACAGGTGAGGGTAAGTATCACGCTCACTCCCAGCATACAATACTGCTCTGAATGTGGCTGACATTTTGGGTTTAATCTGCAGGTATAGAGACTAAATATAAATATTAGATCTGTGCATTAGAAAAAGGTTAGGCTCTCTAATGACCGAAGCGTTGGGAGAAATCACCAAAATATGTGATGGCAGAGGTCAATCTGGCTTAGGGTGAAAGATAAAAATGATCCGCCAGTAGTGGTTTTAATTTTAGTGTTTTTGCTGTCAGAGCCAGTTTACAGAGAGCACAGGGATCCCAGCACAACCAGCATGCCTGTCTGTTAACAATAGAAAGCCTACTGGCGAAGGGTGAAAGGATATCCTGTATAGAGACGAATCACGCCCTACACACACACACATACACACAAACACATGGTAGAAGGGGGTCAAGGTCAACGCTGCCGCCTTTAAGAGAACACGCTGTGAGATAAATCTGCTCAAAGATTTACCTAATAACAGTTCAATCAACCGTTTCAAGCAAAAGTAGTAGCTGTTTATATTCATCCTTCTACAAGTGTTCATTTAAAAAAAACAAAAAAAACAATTTTTGTGCCACTAATAAAAATGACCTTGAACCACTTAAGTAACAATCTCCCAACATCTTTGCCACTCGCCTTAGCTCACATGCACTTTTTTAGGTGCGGTACTATGAAATCAAACATTTCCTTGCATAACTATTGTCCAGTTATGCAAGTCAGTTATGCAGCTTGCATAACTGCTGCATGTAAAAACACTTCCATGCAAGAAGCATCTCTAGCGTAGGTTATACTAACAGGAGAGCACGGTTAATCTTGTGAATAATTTAGTGTACTGTAGTGAGTGAATATAATCAGCTGAACGGGGTCTGGTTCTGACCCCTTTTTTTTCTTCTTTTTTTTAATAATTAGCAGTACGTGTAGGCTAATATAAATAATTCTCAAACTTAATAATTGTTTTATTCTTTTAAAGCTTAAAATGACATATTAACAGTATTTTTCAGGGTCAAGTTGGGGTCATCTTAGATTCAACAGGCCCCAGACTATAGCGTCAGGTTTGTTAATGTGAGGATTTATATGAATAAACAGGTTTTTGACTCTTTGCCTGCATGGCAGGCATACAGTAAATGCTGGTTCCTCTCAGTAAATACCATTTTCTGTCTATCAGCTCAGGCAGTTAAAACGCAGTCTTGGAGAATATTTACCTTGCTGTCCTCTCTGCCGCATACGTGACTAACAGAGTCAGAGAAAGTGCACGTTTTTTTAGGAATTAGTTTTTTAATTATAATTAAATTGTCAGTGGGTTATAGACTGGGGTTGACCTCGGCTTCCAGCGAATGTTGTTGGTATTCTTAAGCTTTGTTCTGTTAAAGTAAGCTAGATATGCGCAACCCCATTTTTCCACTCTGCTGCAGTGTGTTGATGGACGGTCGTGATCATGTGACCCTGCAAACTGTCCTGCTAGACTTGATTGCTATAATTAAAGTTTCACAACAGGGAGTATCTCCGCCTAGCCTGCAGACATGGATTTGCTTCCCTCCTGGCAGAAATGAATTCACACATCACCATTATCATGACCTTTGTGAAAATAAATTAATATTTCAACCACAGTCATCTTCACATTGTTCATCAATCTTTCTCCCTCATGTTGTAGACTCCCCCACATTTTCTTATTGTGAGTTTTAGGCGAGGAAAAGATTAGAGGTTTAAGCATGACCCATGTCGTATGTTCCAAAAAAGATGGCACCGCAACGCTCAACTTCACCCATCACCTCAGGAGCTTTTTCCTAAGAGGTATCTGATCATTAAACCTCCTTCTAAAGCATGCAATATGTGCGCTTTTCCCCTTTCTTAACCTTTGTTTGATGCATAATTTCAAGGGTTATGTTTCTTATTAGCTACAGAGATTACAAAATGGGGTCAATTGCAGATCACTGCCAATTCCAGTGAAGCCGGTATACTGATATTTCAAGTGGACTAGTCTGTGAAGTGCGAGTCACTAATTTTCGCAGTCCCGTCTTTGTGAGCAATCTTCCACTGATGGAGCCGGCTCAGGTCAAATTAAAAATGAATTACATTTTTGCCAGCCTGTCTTCATTGAGTCCAACCCAGGAGTGATGTGCTGGGATATGTGAGTCACAGACAGGTGGTGTTGAAGTTATCCAAAGCTTTGAAATGGAGGGAATTACTCTGATGATCATTTATTTAAGGATGTCCACAATCCTCAGATTTCCAAACCTGCAAATGCAACTGTTAAAGATGGCGTATTTTATACCCATACTTATATAAGTAAGCTTATCTATGATGCATGCCGCCTTTGGAGATGAAATGATTTGTGTGGCTAAAAGGGTGCAGTGCTAATTTATCAGCTTATCCTAGTGAGCTTAGTTAGCAAGTGCAACACACAAACACACTTATCAGCTTTATGCTTGTGTCAGGGCGCCTGCCGTGACCCTACCTGTAACTGAGTTACCCAGTTGGATGAGTAAAAAAAAATACCCTCACTCGGAGCTGATCTGAGGGTAAACTATTATTTTTTTTAATACCAGGTATGCAAGTTTTCTTTTTAATGCTGCAAAGTGGAGCATTTTAGCATGGGAGTCTTTGGGGTCTCATTCCTTTTTCGAGCCAACCTCAAGTGGCCACGAGAGGAACTACGGCTTTGTACACTTCTTCTTGGCTTTATTTGTTTGTACTCCGTGTTGTGTAATAGGCTTTTACTTTTAAAACAACTTGATATTTTAAAAGTAATCTATTACATTAAAGCATCATGTATGCATTAGTTACTCGTTTGCTTTACCAGAAACAATAAACGGTTTTCATTTAGTTTGTGCGTGTTGATTATTCATCCTGAGCGTGTGAAGTCTTCTTAGTATATTGAGTTTACTTCATGATATTTCCAGCACCTCCTCAACTATATTACCACCCGGTTGGGTGAACTTGTTACTTGTTAGAAAGTAAAAGTTATTGGTGTCATATTGTAAGGTGATACATCCAACACTGAATGAATTTACAAAACAAAAGTTTAACTACATTTGCTATGCATTTCTCACTTGTCAGCCAATTATAGTGCAGTAATTTAGATATTTAGTTTTATTAACCTAATTTAAAATGCTATCTCCTGAAAAACAAATTTAACAACCCAAATTTAGCTTTATTTGCAGGTTTTGGAGTGTTTTCAGATTCAGTGTGCTCTTATTGGCTGCATTCAGATCTCTATGCATTCCAGCCACATGCCTTTAGGAATAGGTGGAAGGGAAGGGTCCTGGCTGGTTGCATGGTCATTGTTTTTACTCTTATTCTTGGCTATACATGTTGTTTATTTCATGGGACTGTATGTAGGAATGTGTGTGCGTGTGCTCTGCTGCATTTATGTAACTTCATGTAATGTCATGTGAGTCTGTCTCGCTTCCACCGGCTGAACTTCGCCAGATGGTTTCCAAACGTACTGCACACGGAAACTGCTGCGCCAAGCGCTGGAGCTTATCATTACCCATCATGTGACTGTTACTTTGTTTAGTTTTTCTTTTTTCTTTCTTTTTTTTCTCCACAGGTTTCAGTTTTGGCTGTTGGAGATGTTTGGAAGGTGGTTTTGAAAGGAATGAGTGCACGCGTTGGTTGTTGCTCATCAGCTGGTCCCACTTTTATCCTCGATCATCCCTTAGGGTGTGATTACAAGCCGGACGTGCTTGCTTGCTGCTTGGTTACTGTCTGTTTGACCGGAAACAAACAAGATCAATACTGTAGTTTAGTAATGTTCATATTTGTGGGAGAAAACTGGAGCTGACTTCAGAGACCTGCTGTTAGTATTTATTAGAAGGTCTGTTGTTTTCTAAATGTCTGCCTTATTTTATTTGGCCCTGTTCAAACTTAGACCTAAAATGTATCTCAGGGGTAAAATGCTGTTAAACTGATATTAATGATTAGGAATTGCTTGTCTTTTTAGAAAGTTAAAGTTTGATTGATGTGTACTGTGAGCTGTAATCTATATCACAGTCCACATTATATCTTTAGGACATATTCAGTCTCTTCCACTGATTGTCTGCTTCCCTGTATCTTGTGTATCTTCTGCCATTACTTACTCTACTTGTTATTTTACTCCTTCTGTTTATCTCTTTTCATCTGTCTGTCCATACACGTTTCCATCATTGTTTGTGTGGGTCTTTGTTTGTTTGTTTTTGCCCACGTATGTTGTTTACAGAGGTTTGAAGGTTTTCGTAATGACAAGACGATGCCTCCCAGCCTGGAACCGTCATGCAGCGGTTCAACAGAGGATGGATCCATAACAACCAACCACCTCAGGTTGGCATCAACAGCAGACACACACGCACACATATAAACTTTCTGCTGTTGTATCAGGTTTTGTTTTTTCTCTGAGTGTGTTCACATATGAGCTGAAGGCCTGAACTTTTGTATTTGAATGTATTTGAATTGGTTTCTACTCTGTCGGCACCCAGTGCAAAGATGAGCCAGTGGGCATCGAATTGCCTTCTTCTTTCTCTACCTGTCAGTCTTGCTTAAACCTAAGAAAGAATTTCTAGCAGTGAGAATGCTGCTGAAGTTTACCGTCTCCTACTACAAGAGAGAGCTCCAACTACTAAAACCTGAGCCTCATAACAGTTGCCATCCTCAGAGAAACTTTATTGCATTGAGAAGGTGATAAAATGGCAATAAGACAGTCTGCTACCAGTCAGCCTGTGATTGAACTGGATTAAGTTGGCATGTACACATGCAGTCTATATCTGATTAACTGTGATAAATCGGTGAAGATCACTAATCTGGTGCTATCTCCTTCAATGTAAATGCACTTCAACTGCTTACATTCAGAGTCTAGCAAGAACCTCATAGATCCGAAACAGAAATTCAGATATTTCTGTTTATCTATTAACTTTTACATAGGATTGTAACCAGTTGGCAACCAGTTGAGTCGTGTCCCCAACTGCAAAGAGACCAATTGCAGACGAGTTGCAACTGACACCAGTGTGATGGCAACGTTATAAATTAAACAGCAGTTATTTGCAAGCCTTCTCCGATCTGTCTGAGAGTAACTGCACTCAGTCCGAGTCAGACTGCGATTGTTTGGAGGCAGGTTGCCTTCCACTCGGTGACCTATGCATTGATTGAAAGTGGGCACCCATAGGTTAGGGTGTTGAATGCTTAAGCTCTGGGTGACCAGTTGGTTGTTATAACTACTTGCAGGGGGTCACTGAATGGAAAAAAAAAAAAAAAGTAAATGCAATCAGTAGAAAACACTTGTTTATTTTTTTCCATTCATTCTTTTCCACTCATCCAACTTTGGGGGGAGGGCTGGAGAAACCCATGAAGCATTTCACCCACTCTGTGAGTGTGACCTTTTGTTACATCCACGATCATGTCTATCTTCTGACATACTGTAATTAAACCTTAATTAACCAAGCCAGCACAAATACATGAAAAACAGAAGTTTCAGACATATTTTGGACCGCATACGGGCCTAATGTTATCTCAAGAGCTGTTCTCTTTCTTTTAGTGTAGTCCAAGTACCTTCTGAAAACATTCACATTTAATGAAACATCCATTTTAAAAACAGTCTGAGATGTCTTAAGAAGAAAAAAAGAGCTATTTCAACAATGTTCCTCAGTTTTTCCACATTCAGTTGGTCTGCTGTAATTATACTTGCATTACAATTTTACAGATCAAAGTGGATCTAATAAAAAAAAACACGCAAAACGCACACGCTTGAAATGAAACAATAGTATTTTACTCATTTATGATTGAAATAATCATTTATGATTTAGAAAAAGTTTAGCTATCCTCACAGCTCCACCTCTCCAGCAAGAGCAGTGCAATTTGTTAAAGAAAATGAGTTATTATTAGCTCCTCAGCCATTCTGATACTTTGTAAAGCTGTCCAGCAGGACTGGATTTGACCCTTTGCCAGGATGCATGTCTGACACCTCTGCTATAAAACATTCTTCACGGTACTCAACTGTGGTGCTGAAATTATTGAAAGACCACATTGGTTCCAAAGACATCAATGGAAGTGTTGAAATTCTGTCCGACTCCAAAGTATGCCATTATAGCAGCCACATTTGCAGCCCTTATTCCCATATACACACTTGCAGGTCAACCAATTAAATAAATAAAGCGCTGTTAAGTCACTCTGTGGCGTTTTCGCCTCCTACTGAGGTAATCCAGCCTAGAGTCACAGCAAAACGTGAAATACACAGCATGAATTTTATGCAGGCTACTCAGTGAGTATACATCCCACTGGCAACCAAAAAAAGGCAACTCTTGGACTTTAGCCTGAACTATGATATTTTCCTTTACTATTTTGGGGCCTTTTTAGCCTTTATTTTGATGGGATGTTGAAGAGAAGACACTCAGCAATTGGCCTCACGGTGGATTCACCTTACCATTGTGAGGTAAAGCAGTGCGCTGATCAATGATCTTTTCCTTAACATAAACAACAGTTTTAGGGGGATTAATAATGCATTTGCAGCCTATTTAAAATAAGACAAATGGAGTGTAAAAACGGTCAAATGCCAAATTAGGTTCCCCGGAGTGAGCAGACTCACTGAGCAGTGTTTTTTACCCTTTAAATGTGGAAGCTGTTAATTTTGTGTAAATATGTCGTGGTTGAAAAAAAAAAGAAGTAATTTCATGTTGTTGTGCAGGAACCTCTCATCTATCTGCTGCAAACCTCAAAGTCACTCTATCCACACAGCACAAGAGAGGAAATATACACTATAGCCCTCTTTTTTTCCCTGATGGCCCCTCTATTGTTTTCCTCTCCAGTTTTTTTTTTTTTTTTTTTTTTTCTACTTCTCGCGCATACTCATTCCCTCATTTCCCCACCGCCTCCCCACAAGCACTGCAATTTTTTCCCACAATCTTATCTCCTCTGCTTCTCCAAATTCTGTTTCACCATTTAAATAAAAGTAGTCCTCTGTTTCACTGTTCATTCTTCTGTATTTTATTTTAAACCTGTCCACCCCCCTCTCAGTAAGACTGCTATTACCTCCTCTTTCTGTCCCCCAGAGTCTGTCCATCAGTCCTATTTGTCCCTCACACTCAGTATCAACACTAGTATTTCCCCCCCAGCCTCGCTGCTAACACCTCCTCTCATTTTTTCCTTCTTCCTCCAGCACGAGTGCTAAGATCCGCGCCATCGAAGCCAAGCTCCAGATGATGGAGGAGAATCCAGACGATAGCTACTCAGGCCCGTCTGCCTACGTTTACAACAAGCCGCCGGAGAGGAAACGCTGGGAGCCCTACTCTAAATCACACCACAGCAACCAGAGCAGGCCCCGCAAGTTCAGGAGATGACCCATCCTCCCACTTATTCTATCCCCAGCCACCCACCCCTTCCTCTCTAAACCCAAAGCCAGCGTCTACACCTCAGCCCCCACCTCCACACAAACAGTTTCCACATTCAGTACTTTCGACTGTCCGATGTGGGGAAAATAAAAACTCTCGAAGGTGAACCCTGACTGTTAAGGAGTAACCACAGCCATCATGGACGGCACCCAAAATGGGTTTTGGGTTGTTTTTTTTTAATTATTTCAGGTCTCAGAATCATCGGTCGTTATTTAGCCGGACATGTGACCCAAACCTGGCTGACGTGCAGGTCGGGCCTCTCGTCGGCCTGCCTCATCACGATTTGCAGCGATTGAACCAGTTGAAAGTGTTAAGCGGTGTAAACGCTGCTTCTCGTTTTGTTTTGAACACACATCTTCTAACTTCCAGATCACATTATTTAATTAAGGAATATGTTTCTTTTGGAGGGCGGGTTGGGCTTCGGTTTGTCCTAATTGGTTACTATTAATGGAGTGTAAAAATAATAAGCCACAAGCCGCTTAGCGACTCTCACTGCGAGTTTTAGTGTGTGTGTGTGTGTGTGTGTGGGCGCGCTTGATTTCTCCCCCCTTTGTTCTTTTTTTTTGTTTGTTTTTTTTCTTGGATCTAATTTTATACGACTGTTTTTAATGACTTTTGCGTAGCATTTAGATCCATCCCTGGTCGCATTCTTGTTATTTAAAATTCTCAATTAAAGGTAAATAATCACTTCGCTCCTGTGTTTTTCATGTTGATGGTGTTCTTTGTTGCCATTAAAATATTTTGTTTCCATTGCCCAAAAGCTCCCTCTCCTCACCACATGTAACCCTTTCGTTTTGGGGGTTTTTGTTTGTGGAAAATCAGCCATCATGGATCAAATCATTTATTTATTACCAGAAAGAGCATCTATGTAACAACATTATCCACAATAATCATATAGTCTTAGCTATTGTAGCCTTTTGAGGCTCACTTTTCCCACTCTGGTATGATGAATATTAAGTAGTTTACTATTTTTGTGCAGTTCCTGTAAATACTTCCAATACTTTGTAGGCCTTTTTGTAAGACTGATTAATGTGGACACATTTTCTTTATTATAAATTGCATTTTTTTTTTCATTTCATTTTTTCTTTATTGGAGTTTGAGGCTCTTATGATTTTTTTTTTTTGATTTTTTTTTTAAAAGAAAAAAAAGAGACGAAATCCTGATGAGACTGTAAACTGGATTTAATTGGCAGATGATTGGATTTGCTGGCCAAATGGCCTTTTCTGTTTTTGTGAGGTTACCAAGTAGGAACTGTTGGTCTACAGCTCGCAGCGGGCTAATTGTTGGAGAAGACGGAAGAGCACAATTTCGTGCAGACCGATGGACCAAATCCTACCTCTTGACATCACTCAGCTCTTCGTGGGATTTGTTTGTTGCTGTAAAATCATTCATGCGGCTGCAGAACATTTGTGAAATCCATTACAGCATTTTTTAAATTCTATTTTTGTTTTATTTTATTTATTTATTTTATTTTCCTTGCCTGTAATTATCTGTTTTCAATAAAGGGCCCACTGGATAAATATATCCTTTTTAGTTCATGGATACACATTCGGGTGTATTTTTTTTCTTCTTTTTTTAAACGCTTGGATCATTTTTGATGGAATAATTCCTGAAGTGTAGATTTACAGATAATCATGGATCCGCTGTGGAAAGCGGGATGATTGACATATCGATCTAAACTATTGTAGGCTCAAACATATCCTGTAATTATAAAGCTCAGCCTTTTGTTTAATGGCTCCCTGAGTTTCTGTCAGCGTTTAGATTCAGTTACATCAGCTCCTATAGTTTATGTATTTATGTATATGTCTTTATACTTTTGCATAATTGTATTAAGGATTTACATTAAAAACAAACAAACACATTAATCTGTGGATTTAAACGTAGCGCCAGCTGTGTTTGAAAGATCTGTAAATCGTGAATATTTGCCCTACTAATATACATCTTTTAACTTATTACTTAAACATCGAATTTATTCTTATTTTTTAATGAATTTTAACTTCAACCAGTTTTATTTTATAAATACATGATGCCTTGAATCGCAATATTTATGTTCTTTAAATAACTGCAAGCATAGCGACAACTGGCATAAAATTATCCAAAATATTAACGGAATTATATTTTGAATCATGGAGTTGAATTAAATTCAGTCTCAAAATTGTCTTCTCTTTAATAATGACTTTTTTTTTATTTTTATATATATATATATAAATGAGTAATAAGAACATACATATGGTTTTATCCGCATATACACAACAATCAGCGTGTATATAACAAAAACTTTGGTTTTCGAGCGCAAACTTGTGCGTTAATTGCCGCATTGTTGTCCGCGGTCAACGCCAGCTGTATATTTCCAGTAGCAAATAAATGACAATCATATAAACAAGTATAATTTTATTTTTTTCCCTCTGCTGCTATAAATGTCTAAGATATCAAACATCCACCAGCAGAGCTTTGAGGAATCAGAACTGTTCCGAACTGCGCGTCCAGCCTTCTCACGCACATGAAACTCTTTACTCGCCCTCCCCCTTCTTTAACTATAAGGCAGGCCAGAGTCTCGCACAACTTTCACTGCAGCTCTGCAGAGACACTCAGGTTCTCCGCTCGCCTGTGCAGCCCCGCAGGTCTCTGCTGAACCTCAAAAGCTTTTCTTTTTGGGGGGAGTTTTTACGAGGCGCCTCGATTTGATTCACTTCCTGTGGTCGGACCCCCGATCAGAAAAGGGAAAGAGAGAAGAAGAAGACAGAGAGAGAGAGAGACAAGGGCAAACGTAAGAAATCTGTTGTGAAGAGCAGCAAGCAAAACTCTCCGGCGCTGCGTGGCTGCATCACTGCCGTGACAGACCGTGTTCGTGCTTTAAAGAGACACTTTTCTGTAAAACAAAAGTGCGCGCCACAGTTCATTCATGGTACGGATATAACTGTTTTTCCCCATTTTTTACTTTTTTGTTTTCTTTTTCTTTTGTTTTTCACGCCCATCGCCGACTATTCTCCTGATCCCAGACTCTGGAAACTCTGAGACGCCAGGGGTTCATGTACTGGAAAAATGAAGTGTTGTCCCCTCTTTCAGAGGGAAATAAAATTCTGTCCGAAGGAATCCCAACAAAGCAGGTACTGACACGCAATGTTTGGGCCTTTTTTTAAAAAAAGGTTTAAAATGACTCTACTTGCAGCTAGTCATATGTGCAGTGCGGATGCTATACTAGGCTCTAGCTTTACTGTGGGATATTTACAACATGCCAGTTTCTTCTCTCACTGAACGGGACGGACGGCAGAAGCGCGCAGTTTCTTTGGCAGCCCCCCGGGGAGGGGATCGTGCGGGGATTTTTATTTTTTTGTCTCTCCGCGATCTCACAAGAATCATGTTTCTTGTGTGTATGTGGAGATCAGCTGCACGCGCTTCTTCTGCGTATGAATGGCGTGATTTGCTGTCCGTGAGCCTCTCGAGCGCTGCCAACTCGCGTGAAGAGAATTAGATTTTAATTACAGCCATTAAAAATCAAATTTGCAATTCTTTGGGTGACCGTTGCCTTTTTTCCACCCTGATTGACAGTTGAAATTGACACTCCGTGTCCCTCTTATCCCCCCAGCGTTTCAAGCTATTTGTAATTACAGGTAGTCCCCCCCACCGAAAACACACACACACACACACACACACACACACACACACACACACACACACACACACACACACACACACCACTCCACTCCCCAACCTCCAGTCTCGTGTCCTGGATTGCGAAGAAAATACTATTATTCTGAGAGGCATGGGTTAAGGGCAGG